TTTGATTTAGCATATAAGTTATGTTTATGATTCAACATTTAAATTAATTAAAAAAAACTTAGATTTTATATATCTAGTGATTTTTTCAAAGTAGGAACTTAATATTTCTAATGCATTTTAAATTTAAAACATATATAAAGTTCAAAAATAGAACTAGGTATGTTTTATTCCCCAAATAGATTTTATTTTTTATTTTTTTAGTCTTATTAAAAGAATAAAGTGATTAAACTTCCCAAAATAGAAGTTAATGAGTCGTGTTGAGTTTAATCCAACACGATATAGTAAATATATGTATGAACACTCAGTTTTTACGTGGAAACCCGAAAGGGAGAAAACCACGGGACTTTTTAGGCTAATGTCCAAGCCCTCTCATTCTCATTAATCTCTCCTCACCATTACATAGTACAATTTGAGCTCCATTTATGGAGTATTGAGCTAGCTAGAGAGAAATAAGGAAGAAGAAGCTAAAGCGGGATCCTTTTCCATGGAGGGAAACCTCCTATTTATAGGGAATAGGGGGAAAGGGGGCTCTCCACCCTAACGGGCCGAATGGGCCAAAATGGGCCCAAAGGCCGAAACAGGCCTGATAGGCTAAAATGGGCCTTACTGATTGGGCTCTGTACTACGTAAAGTCTTGGGCTCCTGAACAGTAATAGGCCGGGATAATATATCCCAACAAGTCACATTTTGAGAATTAAACGAAGATAGTTATATTTACTGACTTAATTTTTGTTTTAGTCCTATTAGAAAATTCTCTTTTTTATAAATTCTTACATGACTAGTTCCCTAACCACTAAAATTACGCAATTAAAAGGGGCTAAAATTCATTAATAATACGCCGTATAAAACTAAACAACATTTGTCACATACTATTTTGAAAAAGAGTCAAATAAGGTCTTCCATTATTATAAAATCGTTACATAAAGTCATGTACTAAATAAAGTGTCATATAAATATAAAAAGCAATTGGATGAGTCCTAATGACCTTTTGATAACCTCGTAATCCCGGTTTTAATGTACGTCTAACAATCTTTTGAAAATAGATTACAAGATTGACATGAAAATAGATTACAATCCAAAAATAACAACATGTAAGCTAAAATCGGATTAGGAGGGTGTCAACGGGTCGTTACGACTCATTTGATTGCTTTTTATTAGTAGATGTATTTACATGACACTCTATTGAGTACACGACCTTATGTAACGATTACGTAACAGTAGAAGACCTTATTTGACTCTTTCCCCAATACAGTTCTAATTATTTCTGCGCAAAAATAAGATTCTTTCATTCACATGCAATAAAAATTTATTTATTCCTCTTTATTTGTGATTAAATAAATTTTATCCTGAATATTGCTTGAAACCACCTTTAGGCATTTAACATTGAAAAACTATATCATTTAAATTATATTAATCTAATCTCATTTAGACTCAACAATATACACATCGAATTTATTTTCTCATTATTCTATATGACTTGATTTTCCTCATTTAAATTTGCTTGGACAAAAATAAACACGAATATACTAATATATGGTTGATTTAGTCAAATAAAAATGTTAAAAGGAATACTACGTATGAGGTAGTCTAATTATTTTATTGGAAAAATGGAAACTAATAATCCAACGTTTTAGCGGTCTTCTTTCAATAATCCAACTTTTTGATTATTCATGAATAATCCAACCTTTGCACCTCATCTTCAATCACTGGTCCCTGACCGGTTGATGACCTGCGATTCCAAGCTATTTTCTTATCTTTGCAAATCATTATACCATAAATCTCATCTTTCACAAAGATAATATTTTGTAAAGATAAGAAAATAACTTGGAATAGTAGGTCATTAACCGATCAGGGACCAACGAATGAAGATGCGGTGCAAAGGTTGGATTATTCATGAATAATCAAAAGGTGGGATTATTGAAAGAAGACCGCTAAAAGGTTGGATTATTAGTTTCCATTTTCCCTATTTTATTTGGGGCATCACAAAATATTTAATGGGGGCAAACCTTTTTTGTAGATATATATTTATTATACTTGTATTACTTACGGAGTATTAAAAAATGGAGTTTATTGGGGGCAAGTGCCCCCATTACCTTGAGCGTACGTCCGCCCCTGGTCAGGGCATTGGATCGGACTGGGCCGGTACAAATAATATTTTTGAAAAAAAATTATGCGAAATTTTCTACATTAAAAAATTAGACATTTTTAAAATTTGGATAGGTCAGCTCCAGGGTTCCTCCTATCTATGCATGCCCTTCAAATACGTATATATGAGACAAATGTGTATAACTTTAAAATTAATTTTGTTTCTTTTCCAAAAGTAATACTCCGTATATGTAAGGATAGGAGCTTATACATTTTAGGAACAGTCAGTCAACACATATATATTAGTAGTAAATTATCTTACCATATTTTCATAAGGTGGCCAATAAATGCTCCAATATAATGTTGCCATAATTTCACACTTTCATACGATACTTTTTCATGAATGGGCAAGATTTTACTTATACATTTCACATAGATTTCCCATGATGTCCTTAGTTTGGGCGGGATTTTTCTCTCCAGTTGTGGTGTAACGACTGTTACTTTATATTATATAAAGATTACGGAAATATAAATTGTAATGGAAACATCTACAAATACTATAGTTATGAAACCACAATGAATTCACAAGTGAGTATTTCGTCTTGTCTTAAACTGCAATTTGAGGGCGAGTTAAGTTTGTACTCTAAAGTCTAAACCCGATGGTGTTTGATCAATATGTGATTATTCACTCGACACTCGTGAATTGCAATGGTAATTTAAATTTAAATACACATCAAAAGGTCATTTGTCAACACTATTTTTCAGCTTATCAGGCAACTTTTTCACCAAACAATTCTTATTTACTTCTTGAGCAAGGGCTTGGGTAAAACTTTTAAAATCCAAGATTAGTCATTAGTATGGCGAAAATGCGAAATCATTAATATTTATATTAAAATATAGTACCCGAAAATAGAGCTGTCAAGATGGCCGGAACCCGTGGTCGCGGACTCACCTGTTTCAACTCATTTACTGATAGGATATGGTTTTCATTTTCTTACCCAGTTGATTCACGGGTTTCACGGGTCAACCCACGCGAGTTGCGGACTAAGGATGTTTTTACTTGGACTGTAATTTGATGGTCTGGTCTAGTCTATTCAAGTCTGGTTTAGTCTGATCTGTTTAAGTCTGGTTTGATCTTGTATGCTCTGAACTGGTCTGATCTGGTCTGGTAAACGTATGGTCTCTGTGTATTTTATAACTACGGAACTCATGTTTGGTCTGATCTCTTTAAGACTAATCTGGTCTGTTTAAGTCTAGAGACTGAAAACAATTCAAGTAAAAACATTGTAAGTGGGTTGGCTCACATGGGTTGCGAATTGACCTGCGGGCCAAATTGTTTGGACTTTCATTATCTTCAACATTGTTGTTTTACGATCAATATTATTATAATTGGAATTATATACTTATCATTCTACTACCATTGCAAAATGGTAATTATTTCTATAATATAATTATTCAAATAAATTATTAAAACATACTCCATTTGTCCCAAAAAAGTTTGTCAAATTTCATTTTTTGGATATCCCAAAAAGATTTGTCATTTCCATTTAAAGTAAGGAATATGTGGCTAAAGTTAATCCTCTCTCTTCTGCACAAATTTCAACCACACAATTTTTACTTTATTAATCCACGTGAAAGTCAAAGTTGGCAAACATTTTCGGGACGGAGGGAGTATATTTTATGTAAAGTTAAATATAATTCTTAGCTATTAGAATTTAGAAGTCATGATTTACAAATATAGGAATTTATCAATACATGACTAAAAACACACAAAATTCAAAAATACGATCACGTATGTTTTATTCTCCAAACATGACTTATTTAGTCCTTTAAAAGAATAAATTGGTTAAATTTTCTCAAAATAGAAGCGAATGAGTCATATTTTGAAAAAATAAATAAAGACACACCTATTTATGAACTTAATCTTCGTTTTAGTCCTATTTAGGGAAGTTTCTCAAAAGCTGTTTTAAAAAAACAACCACTCAAAAAGTTTATGCAGACATCTACTTTTATACAATGTCTATTTTTGTTAGATACCCTTCTAATAGTTTTCAAATTTTGATATAAGAATGTTTTAAATTGAACTAAAGTTTTGTGGTCTGATCGATTTAAGTCTGATGTTGTATGGTTTCAATATGTTTGATCTGATAAATGTCCGATCTGTGTGTTCTTTAACTATCAAATTTTGGTCTAATCTATTTAAGTCTAAAATGATCTGGTGTGGAACTGAAAATAGTTCATATAAGAACATCCTAAATTCCTAAGTAGTAAGAAGTACTACATAATCTTTAATTAAAATAAACAAGTATTAAGTCTTTAATATTTTGATTTCTTGCCAATATAAATATATACTCCCAGGTAATTATTTTAAAGAATTATCATGCACTCAATCCTTTCCACATTTCGAGCTCGTTTTGTAATACCCAAATCAACTGTATTGATTAATTTTGCAGAAATTTATGAAGTTCTGATTGAAGTTGATGGATTGATTAATTTTGTTGATTTATGCAAAAAAAAATCATTTTTTTTAATTAAATAAAGAAAAATAATACGAAAACACCTAAAATGATCATGTACGGTAAATTCAGCAAATATAGTAAAAAGAGTAACTACAAGCTTACGTTTTTATTACTACGTATTACACAATTCAGCGCATGAAATTAAAAGTTACATGTTTGATTAAAAATTAATTAATAAACCTGATAAGTCGAAAAATAGATCACACGACCCGGATCTTCAACCTTCACAAAACCCAGCCTACATTTTTTATAATTCTTCTGGATACTGTAGCGTGTTTAACGGCACAATCAATTGAACAAAAATTTAAATAAAATTGAACAGATTTAATTATTTCAATTATTTGGATTTCCAGCATACACATCAAGACACCACTTTCAATCAGGTCCCTTGCCAAACAGGCCCCTTCACCCTACTTTAGGGCTTTAGCATTTGGACGCACCTTCAATATATTATCTGGTTTTATGCTGACTTTATGTCACCCTACTTGCAGCTGCTAAGCTCATTTTCAGTCACTCCACTTTTTTAACCCTGAAAATTCTACATAGCTTCACTCCCTCCATTGAACAATCTGAAAGACACTTCTCATGGATCTGCAGTCATTTCCATCTTCTTCCTCGCTTCTCACTCTCAGCTTCACTCTTTCTCTGCTGATACTTGCTCGAGGTAGAAACACCACCTTCTTAAAATCCAAGCAAATGACTGTTTTTTCAAGTTTTGGATGATAAAGGTGCGATTTTTAACTTAATTTGAGTTTCATGATTTTTCAGATGTGTACGGAGCGACATTCACGTTCGTTAACAAATGCGAAAGCACAGTATGGCCTGGGATTTTATCAAATGCAGGAAGCCCCACCCTAGAAACCACTGGATTTGAGCTTCCAAAGGGCTCTTCACGCACATTCATGGCGCCCACCGGGTGGTCCGGCCGGTTCTGGGGCCGGACTGGGTGCAAATTCGACGGATCCGGGTCCGGGTCTTGCGCAACGGGGGACTGTGCTTCGGGTCAGCTGGAATGCAATGGCGCCGGAGCTGAGCCGCCGGCGACTTTAGCAGAGGTCACCCTCGGCACCGTCGGGCAGGACTTCTATGACGTCAGCCTGGTCGACGGCTACAACCTGCCGCTGGTGATGGAGGCTTCCGGCGGGTCGGGTATGTGCGCCACCACCGGGTGCGTGACGGATCTGAACCAAATCTGCCCGTCGGAGCTCAAAACGGGTAACCGGGTGGGTTGCCGGAGCGCGTGTGAGGCGTTCTCGAAGCCGGAATACTGCTGCAGCGGCGCGTACGGTACACCTTCCGCCTGCAAACCGTCGGTGTACTCGCAAATGTTCAAGTCGGCCTGCCCCAGGTCCTATAGCTACGCTTACGATGACCCGACCAGTACGTTCACGTGCAGCGGTGCAGATTATACGGTGACGTTTTGTCCTTCTGTTCCCAGTCAAAAATCTTCAAAAGATTCTACACCAGTGACGACGAGCACCCAGGCTGGCGGGTCCACTTCCGGGTCGGAGAATATCGACCCACCCGCAGAGCCTGCGACAATGGTTGCGGGTCCGGATATGGGGATAGATTATGATGGGTCAGGAGACTCAGGACAAACCAAGAGTAGCAATCCGGAGACAACGGTTGCGGGTTCGGGTACTGGTACGGGTATGGGTATGGGGATAGAGGATAATTGGGCAGGACAGACAAGGAGTAGTTCCACCACGGGCGGATCCGGGTCTGGATCTGAGGCCTTGCTTGATGGTGGGTCATATGAAGCTGGGTTAGCAATGGGCGGGTCAAGTCGGGTTTGGGCTACCAAAACTTCGCAGTATGGTGTCATTGCATTTACCTTATTGACCCTCTTCTTTAACTATTTTTTTATTTAGGTCCTCTTATTAATATCTATGGTAGTAGAAGTATTGTAGGAAGAAGATATGGTTTAATTTGATTTTAGTACTGCATTAGTATTATGTTTTGCATTAGTTGTGTAAATGTATGTTCTTTGGGTTTGTAGCTTTATAAAACTGATTGCATTTACGCTTAAAAAAGTGATCGTATTTATGTAATTGTGGATGTGAACGTTATATGTATGTTCCTAAAAGAGACGGTTTTAGAGTTAAAAAGGGCGTCATCTTTGATAGCGAAAGTGTGGACAGGCTAATAATGAATTCTTAGGTTGGCGAAGAACGTGACTAAAAATAATGACAGCTCCTTGGGTAATCTACTTTTTCGGTCAATGGATCTTATCGGTCAATATGACTAAAATTTCAAATTCGTAATTAAGTAAAAACTAAGGGCGTGTTTGGCATTAGCGAATAAAATTAAGTAGTTTTTCGCAAGAGAAATAATTTATGCTCTCCAGACTCCAGAGCATTTCGTCCGTTTGTTGAGAGTTTTAGACTGGTCATAAACAACTCAAGGCATCAAGCCAATCAATTCACCTCTGAAATTAGAGCAATTGCTCTATTAGAGCATCTCCATTTAAAACATCCGAAAAAATGGTTTTTCTAGTAGAGCTAATTGACATATCATTTTTACACATTAAAATTATTCATCAACAACGATATTTATATAATTAGCTTTTTTATGACATGCATGAAGTGCTTTTTAACTATAATCTACAATAATTCGGGTTTGAATGTTGATACCGGATTTTCATTTAAAACAGTTCCCCTAAATAATCTCTTTCCCCCAATGTCAATCTTTGAAATGATCTAACATGTCATCTCATTAATCTTCGAACAATGTAACCAATGGTGATGCCCTTAGCATAGAAAAAACGTTCTAACAATCACCATAAAATCTTATAAATGTACATTTAAGAGGGTGTTTGGAACTTATCTGCTTCTACTTCTTTTTTAAAGCAGAAGTAGAATCAGTGTCAGTTTTCAGAAGCTGGTCTCCCCCAGCTTCTAACAAAACCAATTCTATGAGTAAATTAGAGAATCAGAATCACTTCTACATTTACACCCAAACACTCCAACTTCTACTTTTACTCTCTGAAGGAGCAGAAACAGTTTTAAGAATAAGATCCAAATACCCCCTATCTTTCATTATCAATTCTCATATGTAGAATTAAACTATCAAATATTTGCTTCAAGAATTGCCTCCTTTCGAGAAGTTGATGTGAATGGGTGCACACGTCAGTTCACTTAGCAACAACTTTTTGAAAGTTGAAATAACTTGTAGTTCACATCCTTGATTATTGTGCATGTCGATCCATCATCACTCTGATAAAATGCTTTTGTCACCTTCCTCGCAAGTCCTTTCTATTCAATCTGTGTATTTGATTGAAGCAATGAAAAACGAAGGATGAGATCTTGTCTTCCTTCCTTCAAAGTTGTGCTAATGACCAGGTACCGGTAAATTGTAATATCGTCCATGTTGATGTTTACACTTCGGTTGGCAAAGGCAACTTCATCCCTCGTTGGAGTCAAACTTCATGAGTGTGTGTAATGTCCCGCAAAAACTTAGAATGCTATTTTGTTTACGCTTTTGTCAACCTAATCATGAATGTTTAAAGTTTGTGTTGATATTGTTCGTGTCGTCTCCTATTTTGGAGTTTCTTGCTATTTTGTATTATGCTTTTTAAGCATACCCTTTTGTGATATACGGAGTATGTTTCTATATAGTTTTGTGTTCTACTTTTTAAGCATATCTTTATGTGGTGTATTTTTATGTATAAATTTGGCCATACATTGTAGAGAATCAACGATATTTGCACTCATGTTTAGAAGATATGAAAACCTCACTTCATCTGTTGTGATTATGTTATGTAGATCCCCGTCATTTATATTTTGACGTTTTTGTAGAGACTGGTGGTGTTTCAGACATGTCATAAAGACTACGGGCAAATAGTGTTCTTGTGCTATTATTTATGCCGGTATAGTTTTTGTATTAAAACTCTGTAATACCATACAATAACTAGTTTAATTTCACGTTTCTTCATCATTACATTAAATTGTACTGAAAAAAGAAAGAAAATAAAAATGACTCCCTCATATTGTTCTTTGGATTTGGCAACCCACTGTTGGGCCGAGTGTCTGTATTACTTTGATCATTGGTGTAAGTGAGGGGACCGAAAACATTCAATCCCAGTTGGCATCACAGGCGGGACTGCAAGAGTGTTGCAGGAGTTGTTATACCGTGGGAGCAACCCACGATGAGCATGGTGCTCCCAAAGGCAAAATTCGCGTGTTACTGTTCACGCACGTGAACGGTAACTTTTTTTTGTTCTTTCCCTTATCCCAGTAGCAGGGTGATGTAACTCGCGTGTAAAGAAATGTAACTCACGTTGCTGACCAATGTAACTCAAGTACATTCGAAATGTAAACAATAAAAAGAAAGTCTAATTGCAAAATTGCTTTACATAAATAGTGCATGTATATTTTTTATTTTTTTAATGTCAAAGTCATTGAAAATGGTTTTTAAAAAATCCTTTATTTTCTTCATTACAGGGGTTTATTTTCAAATGTAGCTCGCGTTATGGCAATTGTAACTCGCGTTGGTTGAATATGTAACTCACATGTATGCAAAATGTAACTTTCTGAGACAAGCTCAAATGTAACTCGCGAGTATACAAATGTAACTTAAGCCAAAACGCAATGTGAATCAGGTTAATGGGAATGTAACTTGCCAAATTAAAGTTTAAGTTTTCTAAAATTTAAGTTTTCTAAATAAATGGTGATGTGTTTAATTGAATGATCGTAATTAAAGTACAAGATCAAAGAATAAGCAGAGACAAGTAGAGACTTGTTTTTACAAGCACAAACACATACATAGGGCAGGGAGGTATCGAAGGTTTCTCCTCAGGAATCATGAGGTGTCAATTCCAAATTCAAAGAAGCGAATGAAGGAAAAACCATTTGGATTAGTAGGAGGGGATTGCTCTGGAATCGGGATTCAACAGGGGCTTCTGCAAGGGGTGATCGAACGGCCTGCCTGATAGTTGGGAAGAAAGAAGACGGTTGTTATTAATTGAAATGGCGCCGTTTAGGGATCGGCACACCTAAGGATGGACTCGGGCCGGGTGGCCCGAACCGGCACTGTTCCGGCCCGGTGGCCCGGTCAGTGACCGGTTCGGGTAGGCCCGGCCCGCTGGGGTTCCGGTCCGGGCTCGGGCCCCTCAAAACGTGAACCGGCCCGGCCGGTTCGGGCCCGGTCCGGGCCCGGTCCGGGCCATTTTATTTATTTTTTCTTCTTCCTTTTTTGATTTTTTTTTTAGTTTTTGGGTTGGGCTGGGTATTTTGGGTCATTTGAGATGGTTTGGGATGGTTTGGGGTGAGGGAGGGTGGTTAGGGGTTAATTAGGAAAAGGCAAAAAAAAATATTGAACCGAGGCCCGACCCGGACCCGGGGGTTACCCGGGCCGGTTCTGAGCCTCCCCTTTCCTGAACCGAGGCCCGGCCCGGGTCCATGCCTAGGCACACCGTGCACACGGTGGGTCAATCCCACGGTATAATTTGCAATGTTGCAGGGATGAAAATCATACCCGCCGCCGGGAGCCACTAGGCACTAGACTACTACAGAGTAGGTGTATGTGATTTTTGTTGTGTGAATATTGTCATAAGATATTATGGGGATATTTGCACTAATATTCTTTATTAGTTGAAAACTTTCAGAATACCCCTGTTTATTAATGCAATTATTCAATTGTAAAATTATAATTAATCCACAGTAGATAAAGTATGGTGCCTTGAGGTACCACAGAATTTACCATTATATTATGAACAAAATTTGCATTCATCAAAATGTATTTTTTAATGCATTTTATCATTTTCCTAATAATTTATTCAACACGTAGTAGTAGTATGTTAATGGTCAATGCATTGAGAAATATTGAAAGACGTCGGAGTTAAATTTAATTTAATTCTTCTACATAAGAATATAAGATAAAGAAAACACTCTGTATATAAGAAAATAAACCTGAATTTCCTTAACTAACCATTTGTTTTCTCCACTTTCTTCTTATATGAGCTCTGCAGTCTGCATCGCCTGGCTGAGATTTTGTCCAGTGTCCAGATGGACCTAATTCTTTTTTATTGAAAGTTGCACTTTTTGACTACTTTGAGGCTTTGAGCTTGCCCGATCCGTTCAATTGCGACCTTATAATGCCAACCATTTTCTGCTGTCTTTGTGTTAAGAAATACGTAGTACAATTTATGCATCGCCATGTTAAAAGATGAGGCATTAAGATACAAGCCTTGGATACTCCTCGTCTCATACATACAGCTAACCATTGTCAAAGGATGGGTGGATGCAATAATGAGGTATTTAATACAGTAACAACAAAAACAAAACAAAACTTGAACAAAGAAAAGAAAAGACTACTAGGTAAACAACTTGCAGGTTAATCCCAATAGTTCTGGTTAATTTGATCCAAACCACCTCGTTAGTTTATCGTTTCAGTGAGTTGATGATCATTCATGGATGGGTACTTTCCGGTTGGGTTTCTTCGTGTCACTAAAACATTTGTTGATGAAGCTCTGCATCCTGTTGCGCGAGCTCCACCATCATGGCATCATCAAAGAACTTGTTGATGGACACGTCCTCGCTCATTCCCTGACAAAATTACAAATGAAGTAAAATTAAAGTTAAATGACGTGATCAGCTAGGAGGGCTCACTACAGCTTCTAATTTATTTTATGTCAGAAAATAACAAGAGTTTAATGCACCAATTCCCCAAAATATGTGCATGAATCCGGCATGCTAGCCCCTCATGATTTAAAAATGCATCAACCTCATTGGTTTCTAATTAATCATGCACATAATACCATATGGAACAGCAAATTTAGCATTATGTAATATGTATTATGATTACACATACCCGTCAATTTGTCAAGATACCTAAATTATATTCCCTCCTCCGTCCCTTAAGACCGAGAGAGTACAAAATACTATCAATAGTTGAATTAGGGTTTTGATGTTTTTATCACCAGGGGCTCATGAGCAAAATTATATACCACGAGGAAGTTTGGCACAGTAAACCTCAAATAATAACTAGTGCACCAGCAACTTTTTTGTGTGAAAATTGATGAAATCAAGGGAATTGTCAAATCATATCCTCACTTCTAGATATAGCTTTCTTTGAATTGTTTATAATCCGGTATATTTTGAATACATGTTTATATATTGT